AACTCCTGGAGCGATTTGTCGGACCAAGCTTGCAGCCTGTCCTAATCCTCGTCCGCTTGTATTCACCTCATTAGCCTAACATCGTCTGCAAACAGGAACACCTCTGACTCTATTCCTTAAGTCATTTTATTTACATATACAAAAAATAGCACTGGACCTAGGATTGATCCTTGTGGAGCCCCACTCGACACATGCACCCACTCTGACACCTCATCTCGGACCCACACACGTCGCTCCGAGATGTCAGGGAGTACCTGTTAGGTACTCTCTGTTCCATTGCAGTACTTTCTCTCCTATTCCTGCCTCCTCTAGTTTTTCAACCATTCTCTTGTTTGGTACTGTGTCCAAGAAGATACAGTCTATCCATCCCGCTCTCTCCTGTCTTCCATTACCTTGTCATAGAACTCCAATTAGTTCGTAATACAGGATTTCCCTTCCCTGGAGCCGTTCTGGTTGTCATAAGAACATAAGAAAGGAGGAACACTGCAGCAGGCCTGTTAGCCCATGCTAGGCAGGTCCTTCACAATCCATCCCACCAACAAAACATATTTCCAACTCAATTTTCAATGCCATCCAAGAAATAGGTTCTGATAACTCTATCCACTCATTTGCAAGTCCCACCCAAATCCAACCCCTCTCACTCATGTATTTATCCAACTTATAATTGAAACTACCCAAGGTTTTAGCCTCAATAACCCAACTAGGTAGACTGTCCCACTCATCAACTAACCTATTTCTAAACCAATACTTTCCTATATCCTTTCTAAATCTAAACTTGTCTAATTTGAATCCATTACTGCGGGTTCTCTCCTGGAGAGATATTCTCAAGACCTTATTTATATCCACTTTATTAATACCCATCTTCTACTTATACACTTCGATCATGTCTCCCCTCATTCTTCGTCTAACAAGTGAATGTATTAGTCATGTATTAGTCAATTACGTTCTAAGTGCTACAACTCCCTTTTCCTGATAATCTTCTCAATAACTTTTCATACATGACAGCGACATTGGTCTGTAATTTAGTGCAGCCTTTTCGTCTCCTTTCTTAAAAATCGGGGACACATTCACTGTCTTCCACACATCAGAAAGTGCGCTTGTTTCGATAGATTTACTGAAAATTGCTGTTAGTGGTACACACAGTGTATCTACTCCCTCTCTCAAGACCCATGGAGAGATATTATCTGGGCCCATCTTCTTCGAGGTATCTAGTTACCCTAGCAGCTTCTTCATTTCCTCCTCGGTTGTGCACAGTGTGTCAAGCACTTGTTGGTGCACCCTACCACCTCCCTGAATCTTGAGCTGAGCTCTTCACATACTTCCTGGTAGTTACTTAGGAGCTCCCTTCCTTCCTCAACCTGATTACCTGAGTCTTGACTGTTGTTTTCTCCCTGATGTGGCTATATAACAACTTTGTGTCAGATTTGGCTTTTGATGTCATTCTCGTACTGATGCTGAGCTTCTCCCCTTATCCATACATATTCATTTCTGGCCCTTCAGCTCAACTCCATGTTTTACTGGGTCCTTTGCCTTCTATACTTTTTCCATTTTCTAGCACATTTGGCTTTGGCCCCTCCACTCCTGGTAAACTATGGGCCCACTCTATTCTTTCCATTGTTTTTATTGCTTTTAGGTACAAGATTCTCGACTGCCTCCCTGCACTTTGTGGTCATGTGTTCCATCATTTTGTTTATTGTATTTCCCTCTAGCTCGTTTACTCACTGAACCTTATGTAGGAATTTCCCGTCCTTCTCGTGGTGCTTCCTTCTTCATTGTTAACTATGCTATTTTTTTTCAAAACTCAAGGCCATGTGGTTACTAGCACCTAGGGACCTTTCGTGTGTGGTATCTTCTACGTCTGAACTGTTCAAGGTGAATACGAGATCTAGCCTTGCTGGTTCATTGTCGCCTCTCTCTCTCTCTCTCTCTCTCTCTCTTCCTCTCTCTCTCTCTCTCTCTCTCTTTTCTCTCTCTGGTTAGGTCTTTAACATTTTGGTACATGAAGTTTTCTAGTACTGCAGCATCTTGGCTCTCCATGTCTCTGGTTCTCAGTGTGGCTCTGTTGGTGGGGTGGTATTAGTCCTTGGGTTGATGGTGAGGGTGTGGAGCATGGCTCAGCTCTTGTTATTATGTGTGATTGGTGTTACGTGGTAGGGGTTGAGGCAATGCTGTAGGTTGATTAGTGGGTAGTTGTGTTGCTCTTACCTTCTAGGCTGTGCTCCTTGTCTACTGGTCCTGCCCTCTCCACCCTTCTGCCTCAGGCACGTTCTTACTCTTTCTCTCGGTTATTCCCTTTCTTTTTTTGTGTTCTGTTCTGGTCAAGGTACACTAGCTGGTATTCTGGGGAACACTTTAACTATGGTTTCTGCTGCAGGATTTTGTTTTGCATCATTTCTGACTTCACTTTCAATTTGATTGTGGGTTTTTTCCCCTTGAGTACCACCTAAGTCTCTGAAAAATTGTCAGTTGAGTAATGTCTTCTGTTACCATAATGATGCTCTCGATTTATTTTATCTCCTTGTCTTCTTTCATCATATGTCTTCCCTTCCGCCTCAGGAAACCCATGAATAATGGGTGTCCTCTCCTTTTCTTCATCCCACTTCCTTTCCCTTTGTATCTCCTTTGTTGTCTCCTTTATCATCTCCCAGATGTTCTGGGGGCCTGGTATTGCTTCAGGAAGAGAATATTTTTTTTTTATTTTTCTACTCGCTCATCTCCCCCACCTTTAATATCCAGGACTAGGCCTCCTCCTTGGGTAATGTGTCACCATGGCACGAAATACTAATGGAACTGCCTATCCTCTAAACCATCCAGCTCACTTGGTAGTGTTCAACTCTGATTTTCAAGTTTGTCAGTGTGGTGTATTGTGAGGTTGCAAAGTTGCACATCACATCAGTTGTGTGTTCTTGCTCTTCATTAAGTTGAGGTACATCAGAGGATTGTAGTCACTGAAAACAGTGAGCACATGAGATGAGCTGCTCAAGACGTCAAAATGCTTCAGTGCAAGTACCAGGGCCACGGGCCTCTTTTTCTGATAGGCCTGGTGCTTGGCTGAATAGTAAGCCACAAGATTAATATCACCCACTCCAGTAGATTGGAGCAACACTGCCCCAATACCTGAATCACAAGCATCAATTTATACAAATTGCTTTGAAAAAATCGGGAAACTAAAGAATAGGAACAGTGCATAGGAGACATTTAACATGGTTAGAAGGTTCTTGACAAATTATTCCTACATCTGGTGAGAAACCATTATATGGATGGGGATAGAACCAGCGATCAGAGAGTCATAACTCTCCAGACCGACGCGTTAGCCATTGAAGTTTTATGACTTTCTGATCTTGGGTTCTATCCCCGTCCATGGTATGGTTTGTTTGCAATCGTGTCATTACAGTTTTGCGAGTCTGGTAAGTGAGGTAATGGAGGCTACCGCATCTGCAATGTTTTTTTTTCGCAAACGTCTATAGAAACCTATCATTCCGAGGAACCTTTGCAGAGACTTCTTATTCTGAGGAGTGGGATAATTTTTAATTGCTAACACTTTGGCAATTTTAAGGGCTACTTTGCCACTACCTACTTCATGACCAAAGAAAGTAATAGTAGATTGACCAATAGATGATTTACTCAGGTTTATAGTGAGTGGAAAAGTTCTGAACCTCTCAAAGAGGGATTCAAACTGGACACATGTTTATCCCACATACCAGAAACTAAAACTATATCGTCCAGATAAGCTGCATTGCCTTCAAGTTCTTTAATAGCCTGATGGATCAATTTTTGGAATGTGGCAGGAGAGTTTAGCATTCCAAATGAGTTCACAGTATATTGATAGTGACCTGGAATTAGGAAGGCAGAAATCTTCACTTAATCTGTTAAAGGTACCTGGTAGTAACCTTTAAGGAGATCTAGCTTGGAAACGAAATAGGCCTTACCACAAAGTCGTGCTAACATGAAGGAGGGTAAGCATCCAGTATTGTGACCTCATTCACATTACAGTACTCGGAACACATCCACAATCCTTCATCAGGCTTCTTAACCATGATGCATGGTGAAGCCCACGGACTGGACGAATCCTCTACCAGTCCATGTTTTAACAGAAATGCAACTTCCTGCTAAAGTAGCCTCTGTTTTCCAGAATTAGCTCTGTAGGGAGAGAGTTTCATAGGTTTAGCAATTCCTATATCCACTTTGTGATAACCTAGGTTCCACTTTTTTGGGGAACACCCAAAAATATGTCGGGATAGGTTTTCAAGTAGGGTAGTGTTACTACTTGTTTCCTTCAAGCCCTGACGTTATGGGAAGAGGATCTTCTAAAATGGCTGAGTTAGCGAACCTGATTTGAACCTCTGGAATTGTATACAGGGTATCAGGGCCGTCCACAGGGTCAGAAACAGAGGACAAACTCATTACTGGGACTTTAGGTGGTTCAAAGAAGTTTAATCTGATTAATGTGGTAAACTTTACCTGCAATGGGTTTATCAAGAAGTGCTAACAAGTAGTTTAAATCATATTTTTTCTTTATTACCTTCGTTGGTCCCATAAACCTTGCTTTTAAGGTTTAACCAGGCACAGGTTCCTGGACTAACACCTTGTCTCCTGGGTTAAAGGAACGAAATTTAGCAGTTTTGTCATACCTCTGTCTCATGCAGATTTGAACACGTTAAAGTGGCCTTAGTCTGCAGATGGGCCAAGTGCAATCTCGATGAGGGATCGTAGGGTGTTTTGCAGGCATCTTCTCCCATCATTCCTCTTTTAAGCACATGTAGAGGGCATCTCACTTTGTGCCTAAAAACTAGCTCAAAAGGACTGTACCCAGTTGATTCCTGCATAGTTTTTCGTATTGAAAACAGCAACAAATGATACGATAGTTCCCAATCTGCAAGAAAATGCATTCATCATAGTCTTTAGGGTTTGATGACACCATTCCAAGGTGCCTTTGGACTGAGGATGAAAGGCTGTGGACAGATTTTAGTTAATTACTACCCTTATTAAAGTTTCTCTGAATGATTTGCTGTAAAACTAGTGCTCTTGTCACTCTGGACAGATTGAGGAATGCCATAGTGGGAAATGAACATAATGAAGGCTATACGAATGGCAAAATGATAAACAAATATTGGTTATCCGACTTGACTTTTGGCAATGGTCCCACACAGTCGATAGTAAGTCCGCAAATGGTTCTTTATCCGCGGGTAAGAGATGAATTGGTGTGAGTCTACTATAGTGTCTGGACTTACCCCCCTTGCTAACACTCACAACAAGAACGGATGTATCTACATACATCTCGTCTTATACCTGGCTAATAGAAACGTTTTAAGATCCTATAAAGCGTTTAAGCGCCCCCACAAATGTCCGCCTAAGGAAGAATTGTGAGCCGTTTTTCAGGACCTGAGTTCTGAATTTCATAGGAACTAACAGTTCATCTAATTTTAAGCTTTCTCCTACCCACTTACCTATTTCCGAACACTATTAGGTTGAGTTTAATTTCATATTTTACCTGGTGATTTGTATTAGATTCTCCCATCGCAACTTTAAAAGCAGAGGCTGAAGTACAGTCCCTTTTTTCCCCTTCCCCAAAGGACAGTCCCTTGGTCATGGAAACAGAAACGTCTGACCCCAGAATAGGAAGGTTTGCTAAGGGACTTTTCACTAGATTTACGAGGCCCTGGTCAGTTTTCCTCATGAAATAAACTGAGCTCATGATCATAGTCCTCCAAGGACAGATAAGCATTCTTTGTAAACATTCCTTTGGACGTTGCCCGAGTTACGGCCAACATCGGAGAAAAGGCTTCATTGATTACGATGGGTTCGGGACAGCATCTAGAAATTAGAATACTATTGCCAAGCAATAATACTTTCATGGGGAATTCCCCAGACACACCTACAGATAAATGCCCAGTGTAGTAATTACTGGTAATAAATATTCAATGCAAAGGAACAGAAAACACAGCTCCCACATAAGCTTCTAATAACACCAAGAAGTTTAAAGGGATCTCCTTAGAAATTGGAAATACCGTGATGGTAGATACCTCAATGGGACTGTCACTCTTCTTAAGGGTGATTTGACTTTTATTTTAAAAGGGTGCCATAGATGTATCTAAATTTTGCTCATTTGTCTCAGCTAGTATCACAATTATTTTCCCTGATGGTAGTGGCCTATTTATTTTACCACTAACAACTGGGTTAGCTAACTTGGGGCAAGTAGCGTTTATGTGACCACGCTTATGGCAGTAATAGCAGGTAATGGGTTCGGAATTCTTGCCCATTACTCCATTCTGAGGCAGAAGTCGTTTTTCACTATACTGGCTTTGAGGCAGACGTCGTTGTTCACCATGTTGACTTGGAGGAGGACGTCATTGTTTAGTTCTCGCTTCCTTCTTTGTAATCTAATCAGAGGACCGTCCACGATGATCTATGTCTATATCAGACTGCTGGGAAGAAAAGTTACAGGACCGTTCAGCGGTTGCCCTCAAATGTGTCTATAAGATTAGCCGCCTCTAATAAAGTTGCCACTGAATTGTCTAAAAAACACCCGACCCCTGGTTCAACTGACCCAAAAAGGCTGTCAGTTAGGACCGTTTGCATTAACCCACCAGTGCCTCTTTGCCACTTGGTGAAATTTTTAAATGGCTCACGAATAAAGTTCATATGGGACTGACCCAACTAACAAATCCTCAATTTAAATTCTCGCTTATATTTGGTGGGAATGCACTGGTATGCGTCGAGTACAGCTGCTTTCACAACGTCGTAACTATAACTCAACATCCAAAACATCTGTAAACTTCTGTGCTTTGCCGTATATTGTGTGAATGAATGTTGACTGATGCTTGATTGACCATCGAAAAGCTCGAGCTTGATTTTCAGAAGACTCAAGAAATTGTTCAGCTTCAGAAAAAAAAAATGAGGTACTAACGACAAAGATTCTGAACACTGAATTGTCAGCCACAGTACACTGAAGCTGCCTCCTCTCCTCTCTGTTAAACTCCTCCTTAGCAAACGAATGTTGCTTCTTGGCCATCTCAAGGTTGAGTTTAACCAACTCAAGCGCTAAATAAGCTGACTCTCCCCGAGACACTCCCGACTCAACACCCGTTACCCCAAATGGCTGTTGGTACTGTCGCTCAAGGGAACCACAGCAAGTGTCTGGAATTAATAGCTCCCGTAGCAGCAGAAACCTCAGCTTGGTACACCATGTTACTCGAGTCACCCTTTAATTTGTTGTGTATATTCTCAAGAAGCTGTGCAGTAGTAAGAGTTCGTTGAAAATGAATACCATAGAACGAGCAAGTGTTGCAGAGAAAGTCTGGGCAAGTTTTGCAGGGTATATTGAGTCATCAATCGCCTAACCCATGTTGATGGCATAACCAACTATAACAATATGCTGTTTGCAATACGCCCAATGCATCAAGAAGCAATAGCACAGAACAACCTACAAGTTGCAACATCATACTGAGGGCAAGCTCGCAGAGACAATGTGGCGACAAATTTCAGGACAGGTACTCCATTTTACGAACACAGGTGTATATATGGCCTGCACACCATTTAGGAGCGCTGTATAGCCCTTGTGGCTTAGCGCTTCTTTTTTTTGATTATAATAACACCATTTAGGAACAAACAAAAGGATAGCAGACAATAAATAAATGCATTGCCTTCATTAAAGTAAGCTAGTATTTACTGTGTGTAATAGCCCATATAAAAGTATTTCAGCTATGTAAACGGATGCAAATGCAAGATAAGACACGGTGATTAATGAGGCAAATGCAAGCACAAGACAGTGAACCATGGAGGCCAGCAGGTAAGGCAAGTCTAACAAAGCTGCTTCACGAGTGTACCAAAATCAGTTCACAGCTTTGGCGAGCTTCCTTGTGATTGGTTGGTTTGAACCAAAATACTGGTATAGCGACAGGGCCACGGTCGTTAAACCCTTAGCCACCCGGTATTCTTGTTTAGAGGCATGCATATATGGTGACATACGCGCAGTAAATGTAATTTTACTCTTTAGCAAAGCCACAGAGGGTGATCTGTTGCGCGTTCGTCTTAAGTGCATATGGATCCATGCTTACATCAACAGTGATAAGGATCCGTGTACTCACCTATTTGTACTCACCTATTTGTGGTTGCAGGGGTCGAGTCCTAGCTCCTGGCCCCGCCTCTTCAACGGTTGCTACTAACCCTCTCTCTCCCCCTCCATGAGCTTTATCAAACCTCGTCTTAAAACTGTGTATGGTTCCTGCCTCCACTACGTCATTTTCTAGGCTATTCCACTGCCTTACAACTCTATGACTGAAGAAATACTTCCTACTATCTCTCTGATCATTTGTGTCTTCAACTTCCAATTGTGGCCTCTTGTTTCTGTGTCCCCTCCCTGGAACATCCTGTCCTTGTCCACCTTGTCTATTCCACGCAGTATTTTATATGTCGTTATCATGTCTCCCCTGACCCTCCTGTCCTCCAGTGTCGTCAGGCCGATTTCCCTTAATCTTTCTTCATAGGACATTCCCCTTAGCTCTGGAACTAACCTTGTTGCAAACCTTTGTACTTTCTCTAGTTTCTTGACGTGCTTTATCAAGTGCGGGTTCCAAACAGGTGCTGCATACTCCAGTATGGGCCTGACATACACGGTGTACAGTGTCTTGAATGATTCCTTACTAAGGTGTCGGAATGCTGTTCTCAGGTTTGCCAGGCGCCCATATGCTGCAGCAGTTATCTGATTGATGTGTGCTTCCGGAGACATGCTCGGTGTTATACTCACCCCAAGATCTTTCTCCTTGAGTGAGGTTTGCAGTCTTTGGCCACCTAGCCTATACTCTGTCTGTGGTCTTCTGTGCCCTTCCCCTATCTTCATGACTTTGCATTTGGCAGGATTAAATTCGAGAAGCCATTTGCTGGACCAGGTGTCCAGTCTGTCCAGGTCTCTTTGAAGTCCTGCCTGGTCCTCATCAGATTTAATTCTCCTCATTAACTTCACATCATCTGCAAACAGGGACACTTCTGAGTCTAACCCTTCCGTCATGTCGTTCACATATACCAAAAATAGCACTGGTCCTAGGACCGACCCCTGTGGGACCCCCGCTCGTCACAGGTGCCCACTGTGATACATCATTACGTACCATGACTCGTTGTTGCCTCCCTGTCAGGTATTCTCTGATCCATTGCAGTGCCCTTCCTGTTATATGCGCCTGATGCTCTAGCTTCTGCACTAATCTCTTGTGAGGAACTGTGTCAAAGGCCTTCTTGCAGTCCAAGAAGACGCAATCAACCCACCCCTCTCTCTCTTGTCTTACTTCTGTTATTTTATCATAAAACTCCAGAAGGTTTGTGACACAGGATTTGCCTTCCGTGAATCCGTGCTGGTTGGCATTTATACTCCTGTTCCGTTCCAGGTGCTCCACCACTCTCCTCCTGATAATCTTCTCCATAATTTTGCATACTATACACGTCAATGACACAGGTCTATAGTTTAGTGCCTCTTTTCTGTCTCCTTTTTTGAAAATGGGAACTACATTTGCTGTCTTCCATACCTCAGGTAGTTGCCCAGTTTCCAGGGATATGTTGAAGATTGTGGTAAGTGGTACGCACAACATATCTGCTCCCTCTCTAAGGACCCATGGAGAGATGTTGTCCGGTCCCATTGCCTTTGAGGTATCGATGTCCCTTAGCAGTTTCTTCACCTCCTCCTCATCTGTATGTATGTCGTCCAACACTTGTTGGTGTATTCCTTGTTGGTGTCCCCATCTGGTCTGTCCCCCAGAGTCCTTCCTGTCTCTACTGTAAATACTTCCTTAAATCTCGTGTTGAGCTCCTCACATACCTCTTGATCGTTTCTTGTGAGTTCTCCACCTTCTTTCCTCAGCCTTATCACCTGGTCCTTGACTGTTGTCTTCCTCCTAATGTGGCTATACAGCAGTTTCGGGTCAGATTTGACTTTCGATGCTATGTCGTTTTTCATACTGTCGCTGGGCCTCCCTCCTTATCTGCGCATACTCGTTTCTGGCTCTTCTACTAATCTCCTTGTTTTCCTGGGTCCTATGCCTCCTGTACCTTTTCCATTCTCTGTTGCACTTAGTTTTTGCCTCCCTACACCTTCGGGTAAACCAAGGACTCGTCTTTGGTCTTCCTATTATTTCTGTTTCCCTTGGGAACAAAACTTTCCTCTGCCTCC